TTTACATATTTAATTATTTCTTTCACTCTCTTTTTCGGTTCTTAGTGTTTGATTATCATTCAAGTACTAATTTCATGTCTCCAGTCTGGGCCCGACGAAAGGAGTATTCCTGGCAATACAGTAGCAGTTCAGGCCAACTTGCCATTCACTGGTTTGACTACTTTTGGTGGATTTTTTTTGTCAAAATTCGAGTGTTCGCAAATGCCACATCCCGTAAGTTACTTCTGTTTTCTTGGCATGCTATAAATGATGTGGCATGCTAAATGATGCTAAGCTTTGAAGTTCTGAATCCATTTGCCTATACAGCTGCTCGAGCATATTACTCTTGTCGACACTCCTGGGGTTTTATCCGGTGAAAAACAACGTACACAGAGAAACTATGATTTCACGGGTGTCATATCATGGTTTGCTGCAAAATGTGATATGATTCTCCTTTTGTTTGATCCCCATAAGCTTGACATTAGTGATGAGTTCAAGCGGGTGATTTCATCACTACGTGGTCATGATGACAAAATACGAGTTGTTTTGAACAAAGCTGATCAAGTCGACACTCAACAGGCAAGTTTTTACCAATCGAGTAGATGAGTTAACATGTCTGTCTCTGTGTGTGTGTGTGTGCGCGTGTTTTTCTTATGTAATCTATATCTATATCTATATCTATCTATATCTATATCTATATCTATATCTATATCTATATCTATATCTATACTACTTTAAAAGGAGGAGTGTTTTTGTAAAATTTCATAATGCCAAAAAAACCCTTACTTTGACATAAATTTAATGACAAATTAGTAATACACTAATACACATTATATTTTATTTATATTTTTAATTAAAAAATGAACTGCCTAAAAAACTCTTACTTTCACATGTTTTTAATGGCAAATTGGTAACATACTAATGTCATCATATCTTATATCCTCCCTATATAAATATAAAAAAAAAACATAACTTTTCTCAATTCAACATAAGCAAATCAATGAAAATAATATATTTTTGAAAATTTTATGAACAAAAGTTGACTCGACAATATTATCAATGCATTTATGAATTGTAAATATTTAATTAAAATATTAATTAAAAATTATAATTAAATATAATCTAATATAGGATATATAAATATTTGATATATAATGAGGCAGATGATCGAAAAGATTCTATACTTTATATTATGTCTTTTATGACAAATCTACAGTTCAGAAGTTAAGAACATGTGAAAGAACAAGATTATAAAGTTTTAAAAGAATATTAAATATAAGAAATAATATGAATAATAACTAAGTTGTGACACGTACTAATAAATATAAAAGAAACTAATAAAGAAAAATAATATAATTAATATAAATAAATATAAACCTTCTAAAAATATACTTATCGATGTAATCGAACTGAATTGTTAAACGCTTGTTAGTTTTTGTTTCTTATTAATTTTATGTGTAAATTTGAGTTGATAGACAATAGTTATTTGTACATTTATACATGTAGATTAGAAAAAAAAAATTATTATTCTAATTTTAATTAACTTTTTTATTTACTGTATTAGTTTTTTTAATACTACCTCTTATTTTTAATATATGTCGTTTTGAAAATTTGCACGTTAATTAAGAATATTTCTTTTTGTCAATAATAACTCTATTTAATGAAAATAGAGATGAATGTTTTGAGAAAAAATGAAGAGTAAATATGAAAAGAAGTAATGTATTTATTAGCTAAATGAGGGTAATAATGTAAAAATATGTAGAAAAGATCCAAAATGACATTTATTTGACAAATAGTTGATAAAACTATAACGACATTTAAAAAAATAGGAGGGAATATAATATATAATTATCATATTGAACAGATAAAACAAGAAATATTTTAATTACATAATATTTAATATGTAAGAAATGTAACTCAATTGGTAAATTAATAGGTAATCTTGGGATAAAATAATGAGTGATTTCTTAAAAAATAAATAAATATAGGAACTAAAAAATTCACTTGTTTAATATATTTTTAATAAAAAAATTGTAAACACAATTACTCAATAAATACTACATAAAAAATATAAGAAATCTTATATCATCCCTATATATAATTAAAAAATATAACTTTTCTCAATTCAACATAAGCAAATCAATGAAAATAATATATTTTAAAAAATTTAATGAACAAAAGTTGACTCGATAATATTATTAATGAATTTACGAATTGTAAATATTTAATTAAAATATTAATTAAAAAATTGTAATTAAATATAATCTAATATAGGATATACAAATATTTAATATATAATGAGGCAGATGATCGAAAAAATTCTATACTTTATATTATGTCTGTTTTGACAAATCTACAGTTAAGAACATGTGAAAGAACAAGATAATAATGTTTTAAAAAATATTAAATATAAGAAATAATGTGAATAATAACTAAGTTGTGACACGTACTAATAAATATAATAAACAAAAATAATATAATTAATATAACTAAATATAAACCTTCTAAAAATACACTTATCGATGTAATCAAACTGAGATGTTAAACGTTTGTTAGTTTTTTGTTCTAAATAATTTTATGTGTAAATTTGAGGTGATAGACAATAGTTATTTGTACATTTATACATGTAGATTAGAAAAAAAAAATCTTTATTATTCTAATTTTAAATAACTTTTTTATTTACTATATTAGTTTTTTAATATAATATATAAGTATCATATTGAACAGATAAAACAAGAAATATTTTAATTATATAATATTTAATATGTAAGAAATGTACCCAATTGGTAAATTAATAGGTAATCTTGGAATAAAATAATGTGTGATTTCTGAAAAAAATTATAGGAACTAAAAAGTTCACGTTTTTAATATATTTTTAATAGAAAAATTGTAAACACAATTATTCAAAAAATACTACATAAAAATATAAGAAATCTTATATCCTCCCAATATATAATTAAAAAATATAACTTTTTTCAATTCAACATAAGCAAATCAATGAAAATAATATATTCTTAAAAATTTTATGAACAAAAGTTGACTCAACAATATTATTAATGAATTTATGAATTGTAAATATTTAATTAAATTATTAATTATAAATTGTAATTAAATATAATATAATATAGGATATACAAATATTTAATATATAATGAGGCAGATGGTCGAAAAAATTCTATATTTTATATTATGTGTTTTTTGACAAATCTACAGTTAAGAACATGTGAAAGAACAAGATGAAATTTTTAAAAAATATTAAATATAAGAAATAATATGAAAAATAACTAAGTTGTGGCACGTACTAATAAATATAAAACAAACTAATAAACAAAAATAATATAATTAATATAACTAAATATAAACCTTCTAAAAATATAATTATCGATGTAATCGAACTGAGTTGTTAAACGCTTGTTAGTTTTTTGTTCTTATTAATTTTTATGTGTAAATTTGAGGTGATAGATAATAGTTATTTATACATTTATACATATAGATTAGAAAAAAAAATCTTTATTATTCTAATTTTAAATAACTTTTTTATTTACTATATTAGTTTTCTTAATATAATATATAAGTATCATATTGAACATATAAAACAAGAAATATTTATTTATATAATATTTAATATGCAAGAATTGTAACTCAATTGGTAAATTAATAGGTAATCTTGGGATAAAATAATAAGTGATTTATGAAAAAAAAATTATAGGAACTAAAAAGTTCACGTGTTTAATTTATTTTTAATAGAAATATTGAAAACACAATTACTCAATAAATACTACATAAAAAATATAAGAAATCTTATAACCTCCCTATATATAATTAAAAAACATATCTTTTCTCAATTAAACTTAAGCAAATCAATGAAAATAATATATTTTTAAAAATTTTATGAACAACAGTTGACTCGACAATATTATAATGAATTTATGAATTGTAAATATTTAATTAAAATATTAATTAAAAAAATATAATTAAATATAATATAATATAGGATATACAAATATTTGATATATAATGAGGCAGATGATTGAAAAAGTTATATACTTTATATGATGTCTTTTTGGACAAATCTACAGTTAAGAACATGTGAAAGAACAAGATAAAGGTTTAAAAAAATATTAAATATAAGAAATAATATAAATAATAACTAAGTTGTGACACGTACTAATAAATGTAAAACAAACTAATAAACAAAAATAATATAATTAATATAACTAAATATAAACCTTCTAAAAATATACTTATCAATGTAATCGAATTGAATTGTTAAACGCTTGTTAGTTTTTTGTTCTTATTAATTTTATTTGTAAATTTGAGGTGATAGATAATAGTTATTTGTACATTTATACATGTAGATTAAAAAAAATCTTTATTATTTTAATTTAAAATAATATTTTTATTTACTATATTAGTTTTT